CAATTTTTTCTTTTTTGCCTTTTCTTTCTTTCTTCACCCCCTCTCCGCTACTCCCCCCCCCTCCCATCAAGGAGAAACGCGAAGGAGTAACGAGAAGGAAAATTGGTTGGGGGGTGGGGGATGGAAGGAATATATGCAATTGACAGGAAAAGTGTTGAATTTCTTTCTTCTATTTCTTTCTGCAAATGACGTTCTCGTTATAATGTTTATCGCTTAGCACTTATCCGAAAGGAAGTCGCGCTCCTCTCGCGTTTGCCGCTCCAGTTTCCGCTGCGTTGCATCTCCTTGCATCGAACGAAGGACAACGAATTCGAAATTGTAGCCCCTTTCCTTTATGATTCTTCCTTTTTTTCCCTTTTTTTTTTTTTTTCTTTTTTATTTTCCTCAATGACGACGACGACGACGACGACGACTTTGTCAAAACCATTAGGGTTCGTTAAGCGCCGGTGACAATTTCGAACGGAGAGTATCGTATAACGGAGAAGAGTTGACGGTCGATCAACAAGGATGACGGTGCGCTGTTGTCAACGTCGAGAATCGATGCGAAAACGAAACGACGCTGTTCGAAGGCAACGACGACGAAGACGAGGACGTAGTGGAGGCGGCGGGTATAGGAGAGAGGTAGACGACGAGGAGGAAGAGGAGGAGGAGGAGGAGGAGGATGAGAAGAAGGAGAACGCTAACGAGGAGGTGGTGGTTCACTTCGCTGGAAGTAAAAGAGCCGCGAGCCAGAAAATTGCGCTGCAATCTTCCGCACGTCGGCTCGAGCGGAGCAATGCACTTTGTTCCACGAATGCTAGCCGACGTTAACGTTGAAATGCAACCAAAGTCCCATTATCTTTTTCTTTCTCTCTCTCTCTCTCTCTCTCTCTCTCTCTCTTGCTATATCTTTCTCTCTTTCTCTCTTACTCTTTTACTCTGTTTCTATACAAGTGGCCTCTCGTTTCACGGCCAATGTCTCTCTCTTCCTCTCTCTCTCTCTTTCGTTGGAGACGCCACAATTTCAAATCCCTCTCTTCGTTCTAATACCACGGTAATTAATTATAGCGAGAGTCTCTATGGTTGTTGTTCGTCAAAGTTCGTTAGACAAGATTCGATTCATCCTAATTCTAGGCTATTTTCTCGCGTGACCACCGACCGAATAAGCCTCAAAACTTTGCTACCTCTCCTACCCATCACCTCTCTCTCTCTCTCTCTCTCTCTCTCTCTCTCTCTCTCTCTCTCTCTCTCTCTCTCTCTCTCTCTCTGGTTCTTCTCCTATCACTATGATTTTACACTATTTGGTATACAATTTAACTAGGTACCTGTCCAGTCGACAAGTCAAAGAGTCGTCCTCGAGGATAAAGTGCTGCGTACGCAACTTTCGTGGCAGGACTTTGTCCGTGACTCCATTTCAAATGATTTTAAGACAAAGTTATACGCGAATCTCGTCGTATGTCGTCATATTTACGGTAATCGTCGCACGTGCGACATAAGAGAGACACATCTAACGTCCGTTTAGAAATTGCGAAGCGCAGGCGCGAGCTCTCTTAGATATACACACAAGCACACACACATTTACACAAAGATGCACGCACGCACGCACGCATAGGCACACACACACACATACACACGGAGAGACGAACACGTTAGAAACATGCACAGACACTGTGACTTCTCGTTTTGCTTTCGGCGTTTTCACTTTCCTTCGAAACGTGTCGGCAAGCTGTACCACTTCATCGATCCTCTCTCTCTCTCTCTCTCTCTCTCTCTCTCTCTCTCTCTCTCTCTCTCTCTCTCTCTCACTATCACTCTCTCTCTCTCTCTCTCTCACCATGCCACTGCTACTACTGCGGGAGAAAGACTATGTAGAATGTAAATACGTTTGGTGTTCGATCCATAAAACTAATAAACTATTTCCCATGAAGGTCGTCGACGAACTAGTTCCATTAAAATGTACCATTTCATCATGAAATTAATTCAATTTAGTCATATATGCCCCAATTAACTCTTTCGACTTTCTTTATCCCGTCGATAAAGAGATTATTCCATAATACTATGTGCGCTTTGGTAATTACTTTTTTCCCCTCTCCCCTTCTTTCTTTCTTTTTTTATTTTTCTCTTTTTTATTATACACAACTAGTATCGTAGAGCAATCCATAGAGAAAATTAAAAAGATAGACAAATAAGATATATATATATATATATATATATATATATATACACACAGAGAAAGAGAGAGAGAGAGAGAAATGATGAAGGAAAGTTACAACGGATATTACTGATATTGCGGCTAACCGGAGAAACTTCTGGTTATCGAAAAGGTTCCTACGGAACCGGGCGGCGTTCCTACGTCATTAACCCGTAGTCTAATCAATAGACATAATTATGAAACTATGCGCCATTAATAGTCCCGAGGCCGTGCTTGCGCGGCACCGTCATAATATCAGCGTGAGGAAGGACGGAAGACTTGTTCGCGCGTAATTAAGCGGGCATATTTTATTGGAAACAGGTAATTGGGCAATAACGAGGCACTAGCTCTTTCTCTCTCTCTCTCTCTCTCTCTCTCTCTGGTTTCTTCCTTCCTTCCTTCCTTCCTTCCCTTCCTTGTTTCACCCCTAACGCATCGTATCGTGGAAGGAGAACGTAAACCAATAGAATAACACGAGAGTATCGAAACTTTCTTCTTCGTGAGGGTGAACGTTATCGCTGAGGGGGACTTAACAATCGACAGAGACGTCTCTTGATTTTCCTCCTTGTAAACGTGCCACGAAATAAACGAATTTAATAATAATAATAATAATAATAGTAATAATAATAATAATAGTAATAATAATAATTATTATTATTATAATAATAATACGTAATTTTAGGCCTAAATCAAAAAGATTTATTAGAAATCCGATCAATCACGATTTACCAAGAAAACAAACCTTGCAAACGATACCAGAGATAAAATGTGAACGAGCCACTGGTAGTTACGACATCGGTCAGCTGCTAATTAACGAGCTGACGAACCTCTAACGAGCTAGAATCGCTAGAATCGATTCACTGGGAAATTTGTTGGATCATTTTCCCAAACCATTTTTATCCATTCCCTCATTCCCCCATCTCTCCAATCCAGATATTAACACAGTAATCATTCATTCACAGTCACGTTCACAGATAAGTTTTCTTTCTCCGATTTTCTTTTTCTTTTCTTTCAATTTTTTTTCTTTTATTTATTTATTTTTTTTTTTTTTTCTATTTTGCGAACAATTTTATGATAATCAGGGAGGATGCGAGGAACGTTTGTATTTCCTGTGCCGCTCGTTAACTAACCGAACGTTCCGTAAATGCTTATCTGTTATCGGTCGTGTCGTCACGACCCCTTTGCTCTCTCTCTCTCTCTCTCTCTCTCTCTGTCTTTCTCTTTGTATGTGGGCCACTCTGCCACAAGTCGGTCGAGCCATCCCCAAATCGCTGAACTATCCTCCAAACATCGAGTACCGCACCAAGGGAAACTTCGACGTTAGCAACCCTCGCACACCCTTTCGGACACTCTCTCTCTCTCTCTCTCTCTCCTCTCTTCTCTTTTCATCTCTATCGCCATCTCCGTTTCTCTCAAGAGTGCTCTTAGATACCGCTCTCTCGACCTCAGAATCGCACCAAGTGGCCCGAGAATCTGACCAACGAGCAATTACTGGGAAGGTGTCGAAAGATTTCGTGCGGCAAGATTTAGCACCTACCGACACACTCACTCGAAATTATTTCACTGCGCAGCAGGAAATTTCTATTTTGGTACTTCTTAACGACGAATGCTAACCCACCAGTGGTGGTGGATCACTCGATTCCGTGACGTTTCGCGAACTCCGTGGATGTAAACGCTTCAAAATGCCCTAATGAAGACACGACTAATGAATCCCCGAAATTGACAGACTTACATTTTACCGTACCAACTGACAATTGTCACGATATATCTCTGTTTCTCTCAACCCCCTTCCCTCTCTCTCTCTCTCTCTCTTCCTCCCCTTTTCCCTTTAGCTTAGTCTTTTGTGTATCCATGATTTTCCATGAGCTTTTTCACGCTCATCGACAAACCATTTTATCGACGATTTATTCAAAACGAAGAAGGGCTGACAACAAACGATATCCTTGGGACGTGTATGGAATTATCACAATGGACAATACTTTCCCAAGCATATTTATTACGAACGCATCACAGAGGATTTTGGAAGTTGCGGGAAATCGTCTTAAAATATTCAAACGTGTCCCGTATATGCAAGTCGTTGAACGAGAAGAAATATTTGAAAAGCTTTCGCGTTTTTTTTTTGTTTTGTTTTGTTTTTTTTTCTTCTCTTTTTTATTTTTTTTTTTATTTTTTTATTTTTTTATTTTTTTTTTTTTTGTTGCTAATACCATCTTAATTTTGAATTAATTAATCGAACGAAAGAATCGATACCAAAACTTTTCTTCTTGTTATTTCTACGATCTATAAAACGCTGTTTCTTTTCTTCAGTTTTTTTTTTTTTTTTTTTTTTTTTTTTTCTTTTTTTTAACAATTGCCTAAATTATTTTGGCAATTAGAAGAACAAAAAGGAAAGAAAAAGTCCTTATTTTCACACTCGCGACACGATCCGCAAGCGGATAGACTGCTACGATTTAAACGTTTCACAGGCAGGGAGAAGTGAAACGAGAGGGAGATAAAGAGAGAGAGAGAGAGAGAGAGAGAGAGAGAGAGAGAGAGAGTGGCACGCGCGGCACGGTCGAACCCTCCGGCAACCCTTCGGGATTATCTTACCCCCGCGTTGGACGCGAATCGGCCCACTTCCGGATACTAGCCGAACGGACGTTGGCACGAGGGTCGTTTCGAAGCACGAAATCCGCTCGTTGCTATCACTTTTCGCCTTTATCCCCGCGATTTCGCGTATATATTCACCCCTACCACCCCTTCCTCCTCCTCCTCCTGCTGCTGCTATCCCTCCCCTCCCGGTTAGCTAACCCCATCCGAGAGAAAATAAAATCCAGTGATTCTAGCTTACCTGTTGCCAGAACTGGGCGAGTAAATATATTCGCTCCTTCTTGAAGAGCCAGTCCATGGACTGCATGGCCTGTATATCCAGCGAGTTGGCCTCCGCGGAGGCCTGCATACTGGCCAATGCCACCGAGTTAAGGCTCGCTAATACGGGCTGCTGGAGCGCCGCTGTCACGACGGAGGTATTGCTACCGGCTACCAGATTGGCGTGGTAAACGGTCGCGGCCGGCGCATCCTCTGAACCGCCAGTAGCCAGCAATTGGGCCCCGATCGGCGCAGAAGGCCCCTGGAGCCCCAGTGAAGAAGCCACTTTGACGGCTTCGAACTTCTCCGCCGGGCCCAAAACTCCTCTTCCCCTCGTCCCACCGCCGCCACCACCGTCGCCTTCCGCGCCGCCACCTCCGTCTCTTCTTTTTTCTCTTCCTTTTCCTCCTCCTTCTCCTCTTCTTCCTCCTCCTCCTCCTCCTCCTTTTCCACCGAAAGTTCCCGCGTCGCTGCTTCTCGAGCACGTCGTTTGAATGAACTTTTCCGTCGGTAACGTTTTCTTTACTTTTAACGTCGACGATTAAACTCACCGATCGGTCTTTTTCAAACACTATCGCGCGATCGGGACACACCGACGACGATCGTCCCTGACATCAACGACAATTCACTAATATCATTCGATATCATTTGAGGGGATATTGGATCGCAAACACCACGAAGAAACACTAGTCTTCTCTCTCTCTCTCTCTCTCTCTCTCTCTCTCTCTCTCTCTCTTTCTCACACAGATCCCCTATATATAATTTTCCTACTCTTGATAAAATATTTTTACTTAATAAAAAGTATTCACACTCGTCCACAAGATTATCACGATTATCACCCGGATCGATTGGCTTGATCTAGTCAATCTGCCACAAGGATATTTTCCTTTCACTCGTCGGTCCGATCCTTTCGATGTTTTTCTGTCCACGGTGGTGGGTGGTGGCACACAAGTCATCCGATGGGTGAATATACTTTCTCTCTATATTTCTATCCGATCTCGCGTCAAAGTTACATTTCCGTATATACGGTTCGTCCTCCTCATCGTTACCAACCACCGTGGTCGCGCCAAAATAATTCGAATATATTTCGAATATATCACTCTTGACGATCTATCGTCGTACGTCTATCATGGAGAAGAAGCCGTTAGGGATTCCGTAAAATACAACAACAAAGTGACCGGGATGATGATGATATCCTGTCGTCGTCGTCGTCGTCGTCGTCGTCGTTGTTGTTGTTGTTGTTGTTGTTGTTGTTGTTGTTGTTGTTGTTGTTGTTGTTATTGTTGTTGGTACCGACGTTTCTTCCACTCGACTCGCCACCGTCGTCGTCGTCGTCGTCGTCGTCCACGTAGCGATAAGAACAAATCTCGTCCCGTAGCCGCATCACACGAATGGACCAACGTGAACCTCACTCGCGTCAAACTATTTCCCGTGAACACGATTTCGTTTTACGATTGGGACACCACGGTACACGGGGAAGAGCATTCATCGGACGTGAGACAGTCGATGATGATGATGATAGTGGTGATGATGATGATGACGATGACGACGATGATGTAACTGTTGTAATTGTTGTTGTTGATGACGATAACGATGACGATGATGACGACGATGATGTAGATAATTATGATAACGATGAATTTCAATGATTTCGGACACGTAGAGAAAGCAGGACATTCGAACACTCGAGACTAATAATCTCGTCACTAAAATCGGATCAATTATTATTTTTCTCAAACACCAACACACCGATAATATGTCACGTAATCCGTTCTTCCATCGGACGATTCAACAAACGGAGAGAGGGATCTCTCGGTACTAGGTCGATCAGAATCAACGGGATCGTCTTGTGTCGATGTTCACCGAACGGTGCCCCTCTGCTCCTCGACGATCGTTCCAGGTCTCTCGAGACAAAAGGTAAATCCTTGGATGAGTCCTCTTCTTCTTTCCCCTTCCCTTCCTCTTTGTCTCTTTCTCTCTCTCTCTCTCTCTCTCTCTCTCTCTCTCCACGTTTCGTGCATTCACTCGTAGTCGCGACCGGTCTGCGAACGCCCGTCCGCCGCCGCCGCCGCCACCACCGCCGCCGCTCTCGTCCGGGTGCCTCAAGAAGAGAGAACGAGACCCGTCCTAGCAGGCTCCTAACCTGAAACTAAGAGCTACCGGACGACCGATGCAATGCCTGGAGGAGGTGCAGATACCGTGGTGGGGATATGGGCGGGAGGATGCCTTGGTGGCAGGGGTAGGACGACCCCTCAAACAGCCAATCACCTTTCCAGATTCGTCCCCACTACCATGGCAAAACGCCCGACGACGAAGAGGACGTGCCAGGAGTAGGGATAAGCTGGCCACCGGAGTGGGAGGCCACGGAACGAAGCGGAGGCTGGCTAGGTGGTCCCTACCAGAACGGATCTCATATTTTCAACTACCCGACCGCCCTTTTCCAACCCCTGCCGATCGCCGCCTGCTTCCCTTCTTCTTTCCTTACTCTTTTTCTTCGGATTTCTCCCTATCCCTACCTAACGTTACTTGCTCTGTCTGTCTCCTCTATATATCTATCTCCTTCTCTTACATTCTACTCTACACACAGTTCTCTCGTCTCTATTCGTCTCCCTCTCCCTCTTTATTCCTCTATATCTATATCTCGAACCAGTGTCGCCTTTCTACGTCTACTAGTTCTCGTCCTCTCTCTCTCTCTCTCTCGCTCTCTTCATCGAAGCCCTTTGCGACGCGAGCGAGTAAACATCCTTTGTTGGAAAAACACCGTTGAGAAAGCGTCACCATAGCCGCCATAGCTCTCTTGGTATAATCGTTAAAAGTCCACCGATCGTACACGACTGAGATTCTTCTTGAACTTTATTTTCTCCATTATCGCGATATATGTACGCCGATACCTCGTCACTTTTACGGATATTGTACGAATTTATTTAATTAAAAAAATAGTAGAACACTAAGGGAGAGATTAACTCGCCATTACGAAAGAAACTCTTGCGCGATCAAAATGACAGGTAAGATAATGGGATTTAAACGGATAACTTTTTTCGATGTCTACCGAAGGAACTTTACTTCGTAAACTGGGGGCCCTTTTCTCTCTAAGCGAGCTAACACACACGCTAAAGACGTGGCGCCCTCGAGCGAGGATAGACCGCCGCCGTTCATGTCTTTTCACTCCGATTCAAATGATCGTAACGTGTAACGCCGTGACTTTTGAGATCGTGCTAACTATCGCGGATCTTCTTTAACGACCAACCGAAGATTCTCTCACTTACCTAAAACTATGAAATATTGTTAAAGATAAACGAAGTAAAATTTTCACCTCCCTATTACACTTAATCTCACTGAGCTTGGAAAGAAGAAGGACAGAGGTGCAACTATAAGTACGTCGTCCACAGCCTGTTCTCACCACCACGAAATCTGCGATCATCATTATATACATATATATATATATATATATATATATATGTATATAATATATATATATATATATATACTTGTGATGATCGATCGAGACACAGATCAAAGTTTCTCTTGCGATAATAATTAAATTAACGTTGGATGGGACATTATATTAAGATCCAATGGTGAATCATATTTAAGGATACGCGTTTAAAAAAGAAAAAAGAATAAAATCACTTAACAATAAGCAGCTCGTGTCACTGGATAATCTTTCTTCAACGTTCTCTTGCGTAGGTAACTTTCGTTTTCGAGCGATCGCCTTTAAGAAATTCACTTTGTGGCCAACACCGGATACGTCGGTAAGACGAGTAAGAGAGAAAGAAAGAGAAAAAGAGAAAGAGAGAGAAAGAGAGAGAGAGAGAGAGAGAGAGAGAAAAAAATGAAGAACACAGTTAATTTTTGCATAAACCACCTCTATGTATACGTGACGATCGGTTCAACACGGCACACGCACGCACGTAGTTACGCTCGAACGAACGCGAAGAACCCTTTCTCTTATATTGTGCGCTCGTTTGGTAATATAGCCGATTCCTTTTACCCTTTCGGTCCTTCCTTTCTTTTTCTTGTTTTTTTTTCTTTCTTTCTTTCTTTCTTTCTTTCTCTTGTTTCTCTTTCTTTCCTTCCTTCTTTTTTCTTCCTTCTCCCACGTACGCTTTAGACATCATAAATAAAAAAAATAGGCTAAGAGAGTATACGCGCGTGCGGATAATAGGTAAGCGCGAAAAAAGGGGGTTTTAGTCGCGTCACAACCCCGCCTTTTACCATGCTGAACGCACTTCTCGCCGATTAACTTAACGGGCATCGAAACTTCCTGATACCTTTTTCTTTTGAGGGTCGAAAAGTGCTTTCGATTTAAGTTTGCTTCCGGTTAAATATAGAAGGCCCCAGTTTTCTCTCTCTCTCTCTCTCTCTCTCTCTCTCTCTCTCACTCACTATCTTTTTTTTTTCTTCTTTTTTTCTTTCTTTTAAATAAAACAATACCAATTGATATTTATTTTCATTCTTTCGAAATTGTTATGGTATATGTTTCGTTCGTACGTTCGAAGTACCTTGGAATTTTGTTCAATAAAATTTGCCGTATAATATATTGCTTCAACCAGAGGAAAAATGTTCGATCAATGAAAATTATTAAGTGAACCGAAAATCTGAATGGCGATAATGACATCGAAATCGACGCAGTAATGATCCAGAATTTATGCTCCTTTCTACGGAGGCGCTCTCCGTTAACTTTCTCGGAAGTTACGCGGCCGGAGAACGTAGACGATAATCCTGTGTAACGCGATGGCTCGAGTACCTAACGTTGTTGTTCAGGCGAACGTTAGCGTGGCGAACGCGTTTGGCGCCGGCTAAACTACTCGGCATCGAACTCAGTACAGAACCGCACGTAGTCGATGTTACTGGAGTGGAATCCGTTGATTATGTCTACGATCATCGTCCGAAGTCTTCGCGTTAAACCATTATCCTTGATATCACGCGACTATCGAATCGAATTTATCGAGAATATACCTATTGCAAATTTATCTCTTTTTTCTGTTCTTTTTTTCTTTCTTTTTGTTGTATGCGAAGATAAAATTAAACAAACTGTATATGCACTTTTGGTGTCATTTTAATTTCGTTCAAAAAAAAAAAAAAAAAAAAAAAAGCACAGAAAGAGAAAGAAAGAGAAATCTTTATTTCTGAACACGATTGACTAATAAGAAGGGAAACGACTCCCTTTTTGATTTCGTTTCGACTCGCGAACACATTTCCTTTTTTTTTTTTTCTATTTTTTTCTTTCTTTTTTTTTCTTTCTTTTTTTTCTTTTTTCTCTCTTTTTTCTCTTTTTTTCTTTTTCTTTTTTTTACTTTTACTCGCGGCTCGCAGATTTTCGCAAAGCGTACACACGGCAAGAGAGTTTATCAGACTCCGACCGCCCACGAAAATACTACACGAGCGTCTGCTTGTCAGCGGGTGCTTTACGATCACCCGGTATAACGCGAGGATTAGTTTGTCAACGCCGAGCAGAGCGCGCACGACGTGCGTGTGAGTGCCGACACGCACGCACACACGTTACCAAAGTCCATGTTCCTCGGCTCGGTGTTGTGTGCATCGGTTGAACACGTTTAACGCGTCTCTATCGCGTCTCTACTACTACTGGGGGTGGGGTGAGGGGGTGGAGGACTCTAGCTCGCTAACACACTCTGGCACACCTTGGAAAATTATTTACGATGTCGCAAAACACAATCGCTCGAAATATTTTACACGTCGATACGTTTGTAGTAAACGGATCGGATATAGTCTGCAAAAAAAGGAAAAAAAAAAAAAAAACAAAAAAAGAAAAAGAAAGGAGAAAAAAGAAAAGAAAAAAAGAAGTAGAAAAAAGAAAGACGAAGAAAAACAAACTTGGCGAGATCTTCATCGATCTTTCTATTTCGATTAAAATATTTCGATACACGAATAACACGCTCTCATATCGACGACGTATTTGATTTATTGAGTTAAAATTAAAATTAACAAACACGCACTGCACGCACCGGCGTATCGAGGGAATAAATGCGGATCGAGAAGTAACACGGCGAAAAAAGAAGGGATCGTAAACATCTTCTCTGGTTTGCGCAGCGATATAAACGGCATTTCGGTGACGCGAGGGCCCAGACTTCAAACGGATCTTGGAATGCGCTTCTCTTCTCCTCCCTCTCTCTTTCTCTCTTTTTATCCTTCTCTTAGCACGCGAGCATTTAAGAGGAACGAAGACGGAGACACGCGGAGAAAATCGTTTTCGAGAATGATCGCTCGTACACGCTCTTACGTTCGAGAATCGACGTATTAACTTTGCAAAAGTTCAATGATTTTTGGATTGTTTATAACACGACGATAGAATTAAGTTATTCGGCCCTTTAAAATAATTTATTCCAATTAATATATTACTATCTTTCTATCTTTCTATCTTTCTCATTTTCGTTTTCATTCGAGCGAATAGATAGATTCGCGAGTAGAGGAGGCTCGGCGATTGTCCAAAAAGCAGGAACGCGACAAAAAACGAAAGTACAAGAGAGAAAGAGAGAGAGAGGGAAAGATCTTATATATGAGCATGTGTGAATGTGTGTGTGTATGTGTATATATATATATATACATATATATATATATATATATATTATGTAGTGCGCGCGTGAGAGTGTGTATGTGTATGCATTACCTCCGCATTTTGCAACGAGCTTCTCTTGCGCGCGTTGAGACAATTTTACTGCTCGTATATACCCGAAGTATGGTCGGTCGGTTCTCGTAATAGTACGACAAGTTAATGCGCCGTCTGATATGCGACGTTGGTCACCGTGTTTTCGATGTACCGTGGAATAACTCACTCGCGACAAATCATTTCTGAGCTTGAATTACCCCTTTACCGGACGCCCTAGTCGATCCCTCGTGATTTTATTTAGACGAAGAAACGACATCCTGTCACGGGCTATCAAAAATTAGATACTCCAAATTTTTTCTTTTTCCCTCCTCAAATAAGTAAGTAAATATATACCTACGTTGAGGTCTTTAAGACGAAATCAATGTTTCCTAAATCGTCGTAATTATCGTTGTAATCGTCATAATCGTAATTGCAGTAATCGTCGTCATCGTTGCCTTGAAAATAAACCAGACATAGTTGTATATATATTTAGGTAGTGCGTTTATCCGAAAATACTCGATTTAGTTTCGTTTCGTTAAACCAGACGA